TGTCTGTGTTCTTTGGGGGGATTGAGTGGGGAGGGGTGGGGGTCATGCAGGTGGCCCAGCATTGTTATGTTTCAGCAGCAGAGCTCACTTGCCAGTGACTTTTTATTCCAGTTTTCCAAATGAAGAGACTCAGCAAGCTTTAGATGAGTTCTAGAACTTCCCTAGTCCTACCTCTGGTCAAGGCAGAGGAAGGATCGGAACCCCCGGTCAAACTTGAGACTCTGCTTTTAACCCTAAAACTGTACTCGCTTTCTGATTTTCTTAAGAGGAAAAAAACAGGGGCCCATGTACATACGTCTTGGTTATTCCTACCCACGGACTTTTCTGATCCTTGATTTTCACACTTTATCTATTTATTTATTTTTGTCACAGCCAGTGGGATGCGACCATGAACTGGGCTCTAACGCAGTTTTGGACGTGTGTGGTGTTTGCAAAGGGGATAATTCAACTTGCAAGTTTTATAAAGGCCTGTACCTCAACCAGCACAAGGCAAATGGTAAGAGACGCCTGCTGTTTCGTGGCCGTGGCTTTGCCGCTAAGCACGTTTGAGTCAAGCTGGGTATGGTCGAGCCATGCACCAGCTCGCCTGACATACCGAGTACGATGTCTCAGACACATTGCAAGGACAGCAGAGGATGGGTGGTTTCTCAGGGTGAGGGGTTCGGCCAACACGTCCGACTCAGAGGCGTGTCACACAGATGCCTTTCTACCTGGCGGTCCGTCCCACGTTCTCCCCGCCTTTGTTACACAAAGGACTGCTTTTGAAGCTTCTGATTCAGGATGTGACCCCTGAGCCGCACTCACAACGTTACATGAATACCCGAAGCACTTCTCCAAATGAATCTTGAGTAAAATGAAACGCAGAGTGCTCTGTCCCGAACATCACGACCTTCTCCCAGGTAGATGGAAAATAGAAAGCGTTCTTGGATTTGGTGGCCTTGGTTGTTCTGGAAAGGAGAAGAGTGTCCCTGCTGTCCACACACACGTGCTTGGGAAGGAACATACACTTTCTCTCTGGTGTTCCTTCCCCTGGGAAAGTGACATCACTGATGGTTTGCACTTCGTAGAGCGCGAACGAAAGTGCGCTCGTGGTGCCCCTGCCCCGCTCTAGAAGAGTGGACATCACCACATCTCTGAGCATCTTGGCCCCGTTGCTGCAGTGTGCAACATGGAAAACAGCATTGTTCTGTTCTTCCCGTTTAGAATATTATCCTGTAGTCACTGTGCCAGCGGGGGCCCGAAGCATCGAGGTCCAGGAGCTACAGCCCTCCGCTGGTTACCTGGCAGTCAGAAGCCTCGGTCAAAAGTATTACCTCACGGGGGGCTGGAGCATCGACTGGCCTGGGGAGTTCACCTTCGCTGGGACCGTGTTTGAGTACCAGCGGGCCTTCAACCACCCGGAACGTCTGTATGCGCCAGGACCTACCAACGAGACGCTGGTCTTTGAAGTAAGCCCCTTCTGTTTGTTCAGTTCTCGGTGCCTCTCGCTGTGTTGGTAGTGATGGCCCGCTCTGAGCTTGCTCGAGGAACGCCCCTTCTCGTGCAGATCTGTTTCCTCGTGAGCCAACTCGCAGAGTGCCAAGAGGAACAGACAGCAGCTCATATTTTGGGAAAGAGGGTGGGAATCTGATGGGTCTCCAAGACAGGGCGCCGGGTTTCACATTAAGGTGCCAGCTTCTCAGCCCTGCACTTGACCGCCATGAACGTTAGGGAGTAGAGGAGGAATGCCCTTGAGATAATCCCATGTTGTCTGTATCTGCCGTTTGGATAAGCCTCTTGCCCCTATTCACCGCATAGGTCCACTGGCCTAGGAGGTGGAATGATCTAGTGGAAAGAACACTTGCCTGAATGCCAAGAAAGTTTTTTTATAGCTAGTTTTGCGGTGTGTTTATTTTTGAGAGAGAGAGAGAGAGAGAGAGTTGAGGGGGCAGAGAGAGAGAGGGAGACGCTGAATCCAAAGCAGACTTCAAGCTCCGAGCTGTCAGCACAGAGCCTGACGCGGGGCTGGAACTCACAAACCATAAGATCATGACCTAAGCGGAAGTCAGACACTTCACCGACTGAGGCACCCAAGCGCCCCTGCCAAGAAAGTTTTAATCCGAGCAAACCACCTTACTTTGGTAGGCTGTTATTTCTTTAGAGGTAAGAGAAAAACAGTGGATGGATAAAAATCAGCCAGTGTATCTGCTTGTGATTTCTTATAAAGATTATAAGAAATCTCTTCGAGAGATTTGGGGGCGCCTGGGTGGCTCAGTCAGTTAAGCTTCTGACTCTTGATTTCAGCTCAGATCATGATCTCATGGTTCTGTGGGTTCAAGGCCTTTGTCCCGCTCTGCACTAACAGCACAGAACCTGCTTGGGATTCTTTGTCTCTCTCTCCGCCTCTTTCTATCTCTCTCTCTCTCTCTCAAAGAAAGAAATAAACATTAAAAATAGAGATTTGGACATCTCTCAAGAGCAGGGAACTTACAGCCCCAGTAGATGCTTGAGTTTGCACCGTGGTTCTAGATGGTGACCATGATTGTTAATTCACTAAAATTCCTATTATCTTGTCACTTGAAATACTAGGTCCTGTCACCTCTGTCTGTGTGGTGGGAGGTCCCTCAGAGATCTCGCATCACCTGCTCGGAGAAAAGCTGTAGTTAGGAAAGCGTCTTCCAACCCTCTCAGCTCTTGGATTTCAGACACGAGAGCATGAAGTCTACATCATGTTGGACTAAAGTTGGGGTGGTTGGGAGCTCAGCAGTGGATCCAGTCCCCGAAATGACCCTTTCATTAACCCTACCGCATAAGAATGGAATTCTGATTCAAGATTTTTGGGTATTGTTGCAAACCTTTTGTTTGTTCATTTGGGTTCGATGTTCTGTGTTCCGTTTCTTTTCCATCAAGCATCTGAGCGGGAAACCTCTTTTCCGTCTCTTCAGGAAAGTTCTCTTTTCTTGAGACACGTATATTTAGCTTGCAAGGTAGGAGTTTTAGAGCAACGATGCTTCATTAGTGTTGCCAGGAGGCCTTTGATCCATCTCTGAGCAAATGTACACAAACCAAGTTCTGTGGCCACAAAACAACCCGAGTCTGGAAGCGGGCGGGATGCTTCTCACGGCTCCTGCCGCGGGCAATCGGAACAAAGTGCACATCATTCCGGGTGAGAACTAGGTTTTTTACTGACTCGTGACAGGCACCCATTTGTTGTCGTCGTTTCTCTCTCCGGTTTTGTTCGTGAACGCAAAGCTTTTCTAGTAGGTTGGCATGATCCCGCCTGCGACTCAAGGTTTGCCATTACACAGAGATTATTTGCAGAAAGACCACAACAAAGAATAAGGCCAGAAATGATGGGAAGAGCAAAGCAGAATGACAGAGATCCTTCTTTCTTTCATCTCTGGAACCTGAAATACCCCCCTGGCGCTGTCTGCGTTGATCGAATTAACCAGATAATTGACGCATTGTCACTGAACATGAGACCAGCCTGGAGCTGCTATTTGCCTTTACGCTTTGTCTTCAGTTAAACCTGATTCCTTCTCTCCTCCGTCCATATTTTGTAGCCCTGCCTAAAACTAAATCTTCGGTGGGTATCCAGCAGGTCCTAAATGTCCCCTGATGGGTAGGAGTTAGCTTTGAGAAATGGAAGAAGGGCCTTAATTGGTGATGGCGTTCTGCAATTTTGGTCCCTCGTCAGTCTCTTTGCACACACAGACACCTCCTTGAAAATAGGTAAAAATGAGGGGCGCCTGGGTGGCTCGGTCGGTTAAGCGTCCGACTTCGGCTCAGGTCACTATCTCGCGGTCCGTGAGTTCGAGCCCCACGTCGGGCTCTGTGGTGACAGCTCAGAGCCTGGAGCCTGTTTCCGATTCTGTGTCTCCCTCTCTCTCTGCCCCTCCCCTGTTCATGCTCTGTCTCTCTGTCTCAAAAATAAATAAACGTTAAAAAAAAAATTAAAAAAAAAAGAAAATAGGTCAAAATGTAAGGAGAACTATTGGCGAGATCTAAACAAAATTAGAAAAACATAAAGTCTTCCCCAGGTTGAACTGGACATGTAGAGTATTTTTTAAATAATTTCCTACTACAATATAAATAGAACAAGAGCTGTGATAATATCTCTGTTAAGACAAGGTTGCGATTTTGCCACAATGCGTTAAGATCGCATTTGCTTAGCTGTTGTAGAGTCTTGCTTTAGGGACTCATTCTATTTAGAGGTTGAATGAAAGCTTAAATTAACATCTTAGGAATGCGACCTGTCTGGAGACCATGGAGCGGGAAATTCGTATGATTAATTGGATGTGCCTTGCTTGTATTTTAGAGGAGTTAGGGTTTCATTCAAGAGTTACAACTATGTTAGGAGCTAAAAAAAAAAAAAAAAAAAAAAAAAAAAGTCTTGTCACCTAGTATTATGTCTGTTTTATCTTTTCAAAGAATTGGGGTTAATGATTTTAATATTTAAAGTTTACTTTAAATTATAAATTTAATTATATTTAAATATATAATTTTAATATGTCCTCGGGAGGACATCATCAAATTTCTGCGCAGTTTTTATCCCATGCTCCTACCTTTCCAAGATCAGGAGAACACAGTGATTTTTTGAAATTTAAATCACAATAAGCAATAACATACATTTTCCAAAATGACACCATGTATCAGTATCCAAGTAATCCACGGCTATAGTCTTTAAAGGAAGTTAAGTAAAGTTCACGTGCCTTTCGATACAACTGTGGATTGAACCAAAATGAATACTTTGGGAGCCAAAAATGTGTTCATTCCAATATAAAAATGTTGAATGTGTTTTAGCAATCCTATGGGATGCTGGAATCAAAGGGTGGGAACTTCCAAAATGAGAAATGCCGTTCCATCCATCTTACAAGTCTAAGTCTGTGAGAGAAAGCACTTTCTCTCCCGGCCTTTTAAAATTCCTAAACGTTCACTAAGTTCTTGTTGTAGGGTAAAATTCAGGAGAAGAGCATCTTTGTCAAAACACACGGTGATGGCACTGGGGGTGTTATGCCCAGAATTCGTGATCCCCAAAGACCACTAGGGAGCCGAGTCCGATGCAAAAGCAAAAGAGCCTTTATTTGAGCTAGCTCGAGCTCAATCCCCTACCTGCACCGACGCAGCGACGCAGCGGTGAGATACCGGGGAGAGAGAGCGAGTTTCAAAAGCACAAAGGTTTTATAGGGGTCTAGGGGCAGCCGATTGGCTGGGGAAGGGTCGTGGCCTCGGCCGATTGGCTGGGGAAGGGTCAGAGTCCTGTTACGCAGGTCGCTGGGCGTGTTTTGATCGGGAAGTTTGAACGGGCGAGCGGGAGGTTACTCAAGGGGAGGAGGCGCGATCTGAGGTTTCTGCGATTTTCCCGGAAAAGGGGTCATGTCGGGGACATAGTCACTCAAGGTGGAGAACACAGAACAAGATGGAGTCGGCGGGCGTAGGCCCGCCCTTTCAGGGGGATAATGTTTCTCTCCTTCATGTGTATTCATCCGATCCTCCCAATATCTTAGCTCGTTCCTGTCTTCGACCACCGTGTTGATATTGATCTGGATAACTACTTTCAAGGCACTTTTCCTCTGTTCATTTCCATGTCTGTTCTTTTCCATGTCTGATAAGGAGAAAATTAAGCAAACATTCATTGGTTGCCCATTCTGTGCTCGTTCGTGTATGAGGCACTGGAGATACATAAATGGCAAAGACATAAATTATGTGGCTAAAACATATAGTCTGTACAGCGTGTGTGTAAAACGCAGTCTGTCAAGAGTGAGTTTCGTATGTGGTCGCCATTCTTGTTCGAAGCAGCATGGTTTAGAACAGGGAACATCTAAATAGTTGGCTCCGCCTTGCCTGTGTCACTTGGCGTGAGTCACTTCAACTGTTGTGGGTCCTAATGATTTCCCCAGGCTATCTTTTCCCCTGTATCCTGCGGCACTTTGCGAAGGGCTCTTATAGCAGCTCAGACCTCAGGTTAGCAGAAACATGACTTGCCTACTTTTTGTAGCCTCCCACACCGGCACAATACCTGGGACATGGTCGCTGCTCAAAAAACTGTCTCTTGAATAAATGACATCCGGTGATAAAATGTATTCATTCGTGTACAAACTAGAACCTGCTTTCGAAGCTGAGAAGTCCTGCACGGAGGTGACAAATGAAACAAACGAGAAACGCGTTGGGTCACTATGTTGTACTCCTGACATTGATGTAACAGCCTGGGTCAGCTATAGACGCAAATCGTCGTCATCATAGTAATAACAGCGATACAAGTGAAAGGAGAGCTTCTCTGAGCAAAGTGCAGAGTGACAGGCTGTGAGGCCAGACTTCTCGTCCCCCATTTCAGCCCTTGTGCCCCAAACCACGGTCTGTGATCCAGAGTTCTCTGAAGAGGCATAAACTTCTGCAGTACACATTTTAAAAACCACTAGGTCTCATCATCTCTTAGGATCAGCCTTAAAACCGTACGGCTGAAAGTTAA